TTTGATTTCAGTTAAACGCATTCTAAATAAGTACTCACTATACAGCATATACCCCCACCTTTTTTCCGTCTTCGATCTTGTCGAAACACAAAGTAAGGAAGGTCCCCCACAAGCTCCGAATTGTTATGTTTGGGGTCAGCCAAGTTTCAGTAATAATAAAGATATCGGGCTTCACATGCAATAGAAAGAAATGTAAGTGAGTCAACTTTTTGATAATACTTCGAGCGTTAAAGAGGCAGCATTTCAAACGACAGTTTGGCGAACAACCACGCAAGCCTATGCGTTTCCCTGTCCTTTGTTAGAAAGTTCTGTAATGTGCTTCAGTCCGCCCCTAAAGACCACCCATTCTCGTTTGTCTTTCCCTCGATTACGATCCTTGGCCTGCTGCCTCAGTTCGTAGTCGCGGCTTCTTTCTTCCTGGGTCATACTCCGTCTTACGAAAACGCTTTTAAGCTGACTCGAGAATTTCAAGTTCTTAGCATTTTTAAAGGCAGTTCGCCAATGACTTTTTGACGGAAGTACTATTTTTACAAGCCTTGGACGGTCCGTCGCTGGTTTTCCTAGCCGATAGATCTCAACTGGCCGGCATTCGACATTTAGGCAGTCCAATACGTCCCGCACTTTACCTTCAAGATCAATTTGGCGCTCTGATGGCCGCATCTGAGGAGAAGCCTCTTCCAAACCACTGATAACGAAGCTGCGAGAACGCTTATCCTCATCAACGGCGTCCGACACTTCCTTAGGAATCTTGTCGGATAGGGCTACTAGCATTTTTTCTATGATGGGATCAGAATTCCTTTCCATTATAGCTTTTAAAAGCTCACTCATGCTTAGCCTGGGGAAATCTTGTTCTTGTTGCGAGGGCTGAAGACCGCTTTGATTGTTCATACTCGACCACCCGGGGAAATCCTCAGGATTAATGGCACACTCCTTCGTTTTCCGTACTCTATCTCGTTTGGGAGGCATGGCCAAAACGCTTTTTTGTTTAACAAAGGCAACGTCGATTACTGCAGATCAAATGATGACTTATCAGTCAATATCGGCAATGCGGACTATCAGCAATATGGACGTAATGTGCGAGTAATTGAAGAACCAGACTGAAACACTACCCTAATTCTTCAAAATATACGTGAAAAACGTTTTGGTAATAAAAGCTTATAGAAGATAGAAAAAATAAAAGATAAGAGTGATTCAAAAGCGAACAGGAAGCTAAGACAAAAAATAAAGGTAGGGAGCACATGGTAGCGCCGCCGCACACGACGAATACAGGAGTGTGATTTTTGATACTTATGTGCGAATACTTATGTGCATTATTCTTCTCTACTATGTTCGGCATTAGCGCTCGTACACTTTAAATACGGCAAAAGAGAAGGAAATCCCATGACTCCCAATCGACTCCTCATCCTACGACTGGAAAGTACGACTGAAGAACCATTCGACCGAAGAATTTTTAGCGCTACTGTACATATATTAGGTGTGTGCATTAATTTCCGCCGCCGACTTCGAAGGGTCTTTGCGCGAACCATGTTAGAGGTTTACCTGTAAGACGTGTCATATTGTGTAAGTTAGGGTATTGATTACCTACTTAAGAGCAGACAGATCGGTTTTCCCCAAAATCCCATTGCTTTCAGACTGATTCGTCATGGAACGTGATAAACCGTTTTCCCGGGAGGCCCTTCTCCTGCTGTTTGTTTCCGAGAAAATTGGCATTGAAGCCCACCTGATGCTTTTTGATACTTATGGAGGACAGGCTTTACCTGAACGAACCTGCCGACATGGTTTCTCTTCACTCGAGAGATTGCAGCGAAAGCGGAATTGTCAAAAAGTAATGCTGTGCATTTCGTGGTGGGATCAAAAGGGTATTGTGTACTATTAGCTGCTGAGCCCGAACGAAATTATATTAGTACTGACCGCTACGAACACCGACTTGACAGCTTGTAGGATGCTCTCAGCTAAAAGCGGCCGTTAATCGCAAGAAAATATCAGGTGGAGTTCCATCACGAACATGCCAGACCCTATGTTGCAAAGAATGTTCCTAAAAAATTGCAGTTGTTGGATGGGAACAGCTCATCCAGTCCGCATATTCTCCGAAACTTGCTCTTTTTGATTACCACCTATTCCGGTCCATGCAAGTCAGTTTGGCAGATATACGCTCCCGGAATTGCGAAGAAGTGCGAAAATAGAGAGGATGATTGAATTGCCTCAAAAGATGAGGACTTTTTTAGATGCGGAATCAACAAGATATCAGAACGATGGCAAGAAGTTGTAGCTAACGATGGGCAATACATTGCCTAATGTACATCTGGTTTTAACTTTGTAATAGATTTGTTTTGGCACGCAAAAAACGGCGGAAATTGATGCACACACCTAATAGATATGTAAATACTTTGCACAAGTAGGTTTGATCAGCCCATACCAATCATACCAAGTTGTAGTGCGGTTGATTAACCAGGTAACTGAACCCCGCTAACTATAATAACTATAATAACAATAATAATTAACTATAATATAACCAGTCAGATCGCTAGACTTACAAAGAATATTCATTTCTGACTTCCTGAATTCCCTTAAAGTTCTAAAGTGTAGTCTGAAGTTGCCACCAATTACTCGGGTGCTTACTGGTAAGGAACACGGGACGCATACGTCTCTCTTTGACGTCTACGAAAGGTCCAGCTGTTCCTTCTGATATTAATCATAAGAACTCTCTTAAAACCCGACGATTCTTCCTACTGGGTCTACTGCTGCACAGAACAACCTGATTAGTGACCGAAAACTTGGAAGGTTCTGAGGCTTACTAGCTCCTCCCAGTTGCTATACTTCACGTCATGATCCATTCCTTCAAAGTCTTCATTCTGTCAACTATTTATTTTGAAAATTATGGGTAGAGCGGCACCTTCTCTAAGCCTGACTTTTCAGCTGTAGTGAGAACAGCAGTTGGTACTAGAAAATTGCTCTATATTCGAGCAGGTCAATCCGATCGAGTACTCACCGCTTGCTTGATTGCAACGTAGGACGTTCCAAACCTCAAAGGAGTACGGGGGCATGGCACGTACAATGCTCCTCTGTTATAAAACAGTATTAGAATTCACAACTAAGCCTTTTGCGTGTTAGATCTGCTCAGGGAAAGCCGGAGAGTGTCGGATCAGAAAGATGTCACTACGATAAGAGTATTGACCAATATCGATTTTCACTGAGCTTTATAAAAGCTATGACTATTGGGGACTCCTTCAGAGCTAAACGGCAAAGGGTAAGTGTCAGGCGTCAGTGAGATATCCCTACTTCAGCACTGAGAGAGGGATATGCCGGCGTAGCCGATTCGGCAATGCGACTGTTTCACTTCGTTCCACTGAAAACAAATGGGAAAAGTAGATTTACTCAAGCTTTTTTTTCTACAGAATAACAAGAACACAAAGCAATCAGACAAAACACAGAAGGATGTTGATAAAAATTATTAACATTCTTCGACATGGACTTCTCAGTTTTTTTTCTTCAGCTCATCAGCAAAAATTAAAGACCGGACAGTTCTTGGGCTGATTTTGAATTCACTTTGCTTTGTCAACTGAACAAAAATAATAGCAATAATGCTACTATAGAACGAATTGGGTTCTGTGCATTATGCCTGCACTTGTCAGATGAAGGGGCTTTTCTTCAACAAATTTATCTGTTGTGCAATATTGATGACCGCAGAGTTCTGAGCAAGATGGGCAGACGATTCGGAGTTTTACTGTGCCGCTACTGTATGATCCCTGAATCAAAAAAGAAATCGAGCTGAATCACTTTCTCACGCTCTTTCTTCTTCTTTGTAGAGGGCTTTAACTACGCACCATCTATGCTGAGAAAACTAACTACGCACGACCTATGCTGAAAAAAACGCACTCTTAGGTGTATTCACAAACTTAGGAATCTGAGAGCGCAGTGAAAGTACGAGAACGAACTCTTTTGGTCGTTCTGCAGATACTGTTTGTTTGGACCAACATAGAGGGGACTTCAAAAGTGGTTTGGAACAGAAGAGTATTGTACAGTGATTATGCTACAAAATCAAGATGACAAATTTTCAGTACCTCTTCGACGTCGATTACTTGCCCTTCTTGGTAGCACGGATAAAACTTCGAATTCCGAGCCCTGATCATGAGAAGATTATTGTTACATATGGTCTGAAATACAGAAGTCAGGGCTTTTACTCCCCTTTACTAACGATTAAGATATCGTTCGGTTAGCTCGCAGGGCAAGGAAAATACTCGAATGAAGTTTGCTCCGGAACGTTCCCGAAAAAAAAAACCAATCGGAATTCCAAACAAGCATAAAGGGGTGAGAAGATTCATTTAATTTGGAATCTGTTAATTTATAGTTGCGATATGGTTAATGCTTTGAATAACAGGAATGTAAATTGGACTCTTCCTGTTCGATCCGTCCGTCCTCTTTCATCTAACCTGTTGCGTCTTACATGCTCAAGAGCCTATAAAGTTCCAAGCAAGAAGTCTTTGTAGCTGGTAGATGGTCTCTCCAAAACGACTAAATTAGGTGAACATGATAAGCCGAATGTTAATTCAGGTAGACAGATGGCAGTCGGTGTGCTACATCGCATACGTGTAAATAGAAGGCGATTGTGCAGACAATATTAACCATTTGACGACCGTGGCACCCGGGTGTGGCGATTCGTGCGATTCTGGGGGCGGCAAATTGCGCGGCGGAATTCGGTGCGGTTAGGACGACTGCAGCGTTTATCATTAGGGCCCAAATTTCAAGTAAAGTAGGTTAGTGGGATTGTCCGACTCTACCCTACCAAAGTACTCTACTTCAAGTTTGTGCCCCAATAATAGGCGCCAGAGTTGTTTGAATCATCGCGAATTTCGCCGCGCAACTTGCCGCGCGCACCCCGAAACGCACGAATCGAACGTCCACCATGGCACCCCGCCGGTGGGTGCCAGTATGACTGGCTCATTGGACCATGGCAGCCAATGTTGAGTGCCACCACGTTTTTCCTTTATTTGCACATTTGAAACTTATTTAATATTTTCATATTTATCAATGTTATTTATATTCAACATGGTCCACATCCTGTTTTATATGAGCTTATTTATTACAAACATACATAGTCAAAGAAGTAGTACTGAAAAGGTTTGGATACTTTGGCGAGATTTGTGTGTGTGCCCTGGAAGCATTGGAGGCAGGAGTTAGAATACCTGATTTGCGACTATGTGACCGCGCGGTCGATCTGTTCATCCTCAAGCTCCTTGGACGTTATACGTATTCCTACTCTTAAACTATTACCAAAATTCTAACCTACATTGCTTCCAAACCCGAAGTGCGATTCTAAGCCTCAGTTCAATATAAGATGAAATAAGATCTTATGCTGCTGTCATGCGGAAACATTGCTAATTTTATAGGGCCAGAGANGGCCAGAGAGAGGGGTTCTCTGGGACAATGGCACCCAGCGGTTAGTGCCATTTGCGCATGAAAGGAAGGGGTCATGGTCCGATTGGCGTCATGTCAAAACCGGCATTTTCGTCAAAGGGCTAATGCAATCGACGCTGGCACTCCCTGAAATAAAAAGATCTTTCTGAATAATGCAAGGGGTCATTAGGGTGAGTATTCTCTTGGGTGTCTTCGCAAATAAATGTTCAACAAGCCTAATTTGGATTTGTCTCTAAGGTCGAAAGCATGGAACAGCACTGGTTCTCGACGACACCGCGTGCATTAAATCAGTTGAAAGTGCCATCTTTTCTGACTCTTTCTTGTTGACTTGACTTTCTGACTTGTTTTCTTCCAGG